GCCGCGGTTGGTCGCGGGGAGCGAGTAACCGGGGCGCTGCGGGGCGGCCGAGGCTCTCTGGGGGGGCCGAGCGGGCTCCGCGGACGGCGTTCCCCGCCGCGCCGGCCCTGGCCCTGACCCTGGGCGCTGGCGTTTGCCAACTTCCTTCTCTTTCATCATCTGCCTCTGTCTGTCCGGCTGACGCAAGGTGTTCTGTTTCGTAAATTGTGTTATTGTTGCTTTAACCGTTCTGGCACCGTGCTGCTTTCTGCTTCAGGTGTGTTACGCTAACACCTGCGAGAGGGAAGCAGCGGGTGCTGAGCAGGGAGTGCCCGGCTTTGGGATGGGTTGGCTTTTGGAAGCCACATTTGCTTCGCTGAAGATCATAGCAAGGAAACGGCGTATGGGTTGCTAAATATATTGATGAAGAATAGCGTTACTTTGGGCGAGAAATTAAACCGCTTAGTAGAAATAATAGACTAGCATGAAAACCCTGCGGTATAATACCGCTGTAACATGTTTTTATTTATGCTGTGCAACAAAGAAGCTACTGTAGAAGAGAACCCTGAGTTTTTACTTGGAATGACAGCACAGCAGACTCTAAAGAACACCGATTCCTGTTGGTGCCTTGTTATTCATCTTTTTCTTTGTCAACACTTACTGAGTTTTTTTTAGTCTAGGAAATCCTCTTTGAAGATGGAAGAACTTAGGGGCTTGTTTAGACTGGAGTGAGTGGTTCTCTCTGAGACTGGTATTTATTCTGCTTCACAGGGGATAAGTAAGATGTGGTATCTCATATTTATTTTTACATATAGATGTATGGGATAACTTGGTATTACGTTATCAACAATACATATGGCTGTAAATTTTTAAACCTTATGCTTCTGGGTTGCATTTCACTAAAGTTAGGAAAGTACTTCACATTTCTGATTCCATCCCCCCCCTTCCCCCTGTGCCCCCCCCCCCCAAAAAAAAATACTGAGATTGAATATAATGGATGTTTATTTGTCTAGGTAGAGATTTAAAAGGCTATGTCACTGAGAGTGTAGGACATTTGTGTGCCTAGAATCAGCTTTGCAGTTTAAACTGGAGTATAGAAGAACTTGGACTGTAACTTTCTTTTGCAAAATAATGGCAATAAAGGTATTTAGTGAGAAGCCAAACCAGTGAAACTGTTTGTGGGGGGTGAGTTTTTCTTTTTTTTTTTTTTTTTTTTTTCCAGTCTTTTTTTCTGGCTTGGCCTGACATACAGGAGATATGGAATACTCTACTGTGTTCTCCAGTTATCCTTGCTGTTACTGGACTAGAACCCATCAGCATCATCTTGATTTGTTAGGAAGTTTGCAGGCTTGATGTCTGTTTAATTTCTGCCCAAAGCTATTTTTTTTTTTTATAGCTTGTATTTACGAAGGTAGTGCCAACTGTATCCAGCACATTTGGGCGAGTAGGAAAAGTGTACAGGTTCTTAGTGGGTCTTTGTCATTTGGTGGTGGAGAATACAAACTGGTGAAGATTTTGTGAGTAGGTCAGTTTAGCTATTGGGCTCAGATTAGTCTTCTGTATTTCAGTTTCCCTAAGGGACTGGATTTGACCTCGGATTTAGTTATGACTATGTGTGTTTTATTAATCTTTTACAGAAATAATTTTTTTGTTCTAGCTGTTGGTTGAAGTTTAGGAATAGTGTACCTAGGTATTTTTTTATTAAAGCTTTTTGGGCTGTTTTGCTCTTTTAGAGCTAACTAATTAATAAAATGCTTTGCTTCTGATAGCTGTTTTACTCATGTGCTTTTGCTGAAAGTGCTTGTAAGAATACAGCAACCCTAGAGATGCCCTTCAGTCTGATGTCATGCTATCTATCTGTCATCTTTGGTAAATTTAGCAGTTCTACCTGTAAACCTCAGTGATTTTGTAATTATTCTTTTTTATTCCATTCTTTTTCTTGATACTAAAAACTTTCTATTTTGGAGATTGATCACCTGTATGCAGGTGTGCAGTATTAATGCAGTATTAAATATGCGGTATTAGTATAATATTCTGGTTGGATGCAAGATAAGTAACTTTTAACTCAAGGCCCTTTATCAAGGCCAGCAAGTAATAGAAAATGATGATTGTTTGCTTGTTTCTCTGTTTGTTTTTTTAAATTTTTTTTTTTATTATGCCAATAGCCATATAGTTAGGTCCTGAAGCTTTAGTTTGGGAAGGGAAGACAGATGTTTAATGCTCTGTGGAGCCTGAGGCCATGGTTGTGTATTCAGTAGAATTGGTTTTAGGCAGTGCTTAGTTACCTGTCAGTCTGTGATCTGGATGGAGAAGGAGAGCACGGTAGCATATATGTTGATTAAGCCAGGGTCCATGGTGAAATGCTGAGTTAGCCAGAGGCAGGCAGACGTTACAATGTCCAGCACAGAGTCTGCTGTTACAACTTGCCCTTTCAAAATTTGTAAATGTGCTTGTATCAACAGATTTTTATTTTCTTTTTTGGTCTGTTAAAGGATTTGCATTATGTGACTTCATTGTTTTTCATCTAGCACTGAGATGCACTAAAACTGGAATTGCCATGTTATGAAACCAGAGCCTGAATTTCTTCCACAGTGGAGATCAGACTTGCTAGTAAGGACTGGGTAGCTGCTTGTACTACATTTGCCCCAAACTGTATTTTTTTGTGGTTACGCAAAAGGCTGGGCTTTCAATGACAGTAAACTTGGTACTCTTAAGATCACTCTATTCACTGAACTGTAGAATAATTAAATGGGAATGTTTTTATACTGAAGACAATTCTTAAAAGATAATTTCGGATCACCAGTACAGTTTTTGCAACATAGCCAGCGATGTTTCTGATAGGTGGCAAGTCCTGGTGCTGGTAGTTACCTTCTTCTGGAAGGAATGCTGCTGCTGAATGCCTGGTCAAATTAAAAATAATTTAATGACAGCAAGCAGATGTTACCGTCTTGTGAGAACTCTCGAACTCAGTCTTCGCCATTTGGGCATTTGTTATTTTGATGATTGAAGAAGTATGACTAAAAAAAAAATCATGATTTAATGAAAAATTTGATGATTGGATACAGTATGATTAAAAAAAAACCCCCAAAACACCAAACACCTCCCCCCTCCCAAAACAAAACACCCCCCCACCTCCCCTCCCCAGCCCTGATGTTCCCTAGCTGAGATTCCAGGTAAATCTCTAACGAAAGAAGAAAAACATCCAAAGAAAATTACAACCGTATTCAAAGCAGGGCTTTATAATAAATGGAAATCCAGCTTCTCTTTAAGTTTGATACCCAAGTTAATTGTTAGTGAATATTTTTGCTTTATAAACAGTGGTTGTGATTGTCACTATTGCCTTTTTTACAGAGGAACTCCAAATACATTAGTTGAAGTTGATGAGGAAAAAGTGTTATACTAGAAAAACATATGATAACTACCATAGTGCAGAGATATGAGACAAATGTTTACCACATTTTGTAAGAAACCTAAATGGAATTGGAAGTTTTGTATTTTTTTGTGCAAATTTCTAGCCACACTGGCATATTTAGGTGTTCTTATTCAAGGTTTGTGTATATTTTCTGTGTTAACAAACTGGGAGTAAAGACAGGATTGATAATAAAGTAGAGAGCAAACAAGTGTAAACAAATAGATGCTTTTCTTCGTGCTCTTACCGGAAGTAACTCGGTGTGGGAAATAAAACAGATGTCTGAAGTTCTCTGAACTTTCTGCTTTGTCAATATAATCATCATTTTATAGAGGCTTTACTGAACCATGATTTCTTTTGCTGTTTTGTTACATTGGATGTGTAATGTAACACACAATTGATTGGAAATTGTTATATTTTTGGGAACGTTTTTTTCCCCCAAGATAAATCTATAGTAAGTTTTATTTAGCAACTTGATATATTTTTATTTTAAGGAACAAGAAATGCATTAAATTTCTTTTTTAAAGTCTTTCTGTTAGTTAAGAACTTCAAAAAATAATCTGAATGCGTAACAATAATGAATACTCTGGATGCCTGGTATGGGAGAAAAAATAAACTGGCAGCTGCAGCCAGACAGCTCTCTTCTGAAAATAACAACCAAAGTCATGCAGTAGTGTTGTAACAAGTAAGATTTCTTTTTTTTCGTTCTGTTTTTGTACTCTTCAGGTACTTTCTCAATTTTCTTCAGAATTAGTATATTTGAGAGTACTTGAAAGGAGTGAAAGAAACATGAAACATTGTTTTGCTCAGTAGTTGAAGAGAATTAGTTCCAAAAGATCCTAATCTGTGTCTTCTCAAAAAAAACACGGTGTTTTTCTTGAATAAACTGTAGTTCCTGTGCATGTAACGATTCAGAAATGACTTAACTTACTGAAACATGTCTTAAACAATTATGCTAAGACAAATTTTAAACTTGGTTATTGATTTATTGGCTAGCCATGTGTGTGTGTTTTATCTAGTCTAAGAGCTTTCTGTCTGGCTAAAATAGGTGTGTACCTAGCAAAGCCATATTTTCTCCAAGTATAAAAAAGATAATAGGAAACATACAAAAGAATATATTTTCATTCTAAACTTCTATTTATTTTTTTTTTAATTCCAGAATAACAATTTGTGAGTTAGTATAGTGTTCTATAACATCATGATTTGGATTCTTCTGTTTTCTTTATTTTTTTTTCAAGAGAGCAGTGAAATTACATATCTTGCATGTTAAAAGAATCTACTTTTACTTGCAGTGTGCTTTGAAAATGTCTGAAAATTCCAGTGACAGTGATTCATCTTGTGGCTGGACTGTCATCAATCATGAGGTACCCAATCTCAAATTAATAAAGTTCTGTCAGTTTAAGACTAGCCATATGCAGTAAAATATTATTTCAACTTTGTAGTTTTTGTTTTGTGTGGATCTTGCATATTAACAGAGAATACAGAAGAGAGATTTATAAATAAGAACACATAAAACTACTGTTTCAAAATGTGTATCCTTTACTATAGCTGATACAAATTTTGTTATTTAAAATACACATTTTTTACAAAGGTTTTACTTTGAAGAATTGCTAAAATTTTAGTGAGATACTCTCCTCTGTTCCATCTTCCCTGAAAGCATTGACATTCTATGTAACTTGTCTGTTGTTGCTAATATAGGTGGTCTTTTCCTTCCAAATCCCCCCACCCTGCCAAAAAAAAAAAAAAAAAGAAAATATCTGATGGACAAGGGAATGGTTTCATGATTTCTCCAAGTCTTTTCTACCACTAAGATAGTCTAATCCTAGCTTCAGCAGTTGCTGTTTAGGAACAGCCCTCTGTCCTTACATTCTGTCTTTCTCATTATGAAAAAATAGGATGGACAAGTTTATGTTCAATGACTAGAATATTAGAAGGTGGCAGTTTCAAGGCTCATGCGAATGCTATAGTTAGTGCATAACCAATTGCTTTTGTTCTTGACAGGGACAGTCTTTGTCTTTGAGTTGAGCCAGTGAGCTCAGGAGGTTGAGGACTGGCATAAAGACATCTGTAAGACGTGCTGCTTCTCTCTAATATTTTGTATTGCCTCACTCTACTTACAGAATGCATAGGCAGTTGGGAGAAAGATGCACATAGACCTATTGGGTCTTATTTGCACCATTTTAAGCACTTCCATTTGTGTGGATGCATTGGGTTTGTGTGGCAAGGTTTTGGTAGCAGGGAGGGTTACAGGGGTGGCTTCTGTAAGAAGCTGCTG